ATAAGAAGAGCTGAAATCACGGCATGCGCCTGTAGTCCCAGCTACTCAGCAGACTGAGGCAGAAGAATTGCTAAAACCTGGGAGGCGGAGGTTGCAGTAAGTGAAGATCACACCACTGCACTCCAGCCTGGGCAACAGAGTGAGACGCCACATCAAAAAAAAAAAAAAAAAAAAAAGAAGAAGAAGAAGAGCTGACCATCTTTCTCAGAGGGAAATTTTTAGTGTTTGAAGATTCAGTATGATGTTTGCTGAAAATCTCTTTCACCTTGCTTTTTTTTTCTAGTTTTCATCATGAATAGCTATTAACTGTATAAAATTTGTGGCACCTGTTGAGATGATCTAATAAGCTTTCTCCCGTAATCAGTTAGTATATTCAATTATATTGACAGGTTTTCATGTACAACTGCTATTTCCTTTCTGGGATAAATGCTACTAATCATGAAGTAGTATCCTTTTTACGTATTGCTAGCATGAGTTGCAAATATTTTATCTAAATTTTTTCATGTGAGACTGTGAGACTGGCCTATAATGCTCTCTTCTCACACTGTCTTAGGCTTTGGAATCAAGACGATGTTAGCCTTACAAAATAAATTAAGGAGCATTTCCCTTTTGCAATATTTAAAACAAGAACTTTCTGGAATTTGAATTGGAGACATTTGACTCTTAAACATATGAAATAATTTGACTGTGTTATATAGTCAATACTGTTTCAATTTAATCCATATATTTAACACTTATTTTGCTCTCTTACTTCTTGTGTCTCAGACCTTCCAGCTTGGATCTTTCATTTGAGAAAATTTTCTCCCCGAGGTACTTGCCTAAGGATTTCTTTTTGCTGTTGATGTATCATTCGGGGTTCAACCAGAGAAGAAAAACCCAGTTGGAGGTTCTATATATACACATACACACATGAGATTTATGAGAAGGAACTGGCTTACATGATTGTAAGCAAGTCTGAAATTCACAGGACAGGCTGTCAGTAAAGGAAAATCATGGGCAGTCTTGAACTAAGGCCCAAGTAGTCATCTACAAGTAGAATTCTTCTCTCTCTGAAGGAAATCTTATTCCTGTTTTGTTGTTGTTTGCTTATTTGTTTTGATACAGGCTCTTACTCTGTTGCCCAAGCTTAAGTGCAGTGGCAGGCACACTCAGCTCACTGCAGCCGCAACCTCCTAGGCTCAGGTGATCCATGTTAGCCTCCCTGTAGCTGGGACTACAGGTGTGCACCACCATATCCAGCTAATTTTTGTATTTTTTTTTGTAGCAGCAGGGTTTCACCATGCTGCCCAGGCTGGTTAGTCCTGTTTTTAAGGCTTTCCAAGTGATTCAGATAGGCCCATCAATCAAATTATCTAGAATAATCTTCTTTATTTATAGTCAAATGATTAGGAGTTTTAATTTTATCTGTAAAATCCCTTCATAGCAAAACCTAAATTATTGTTTGATGGAATAATTGGGGATGATAGCCTAGCCAGGTGGATACATCAATAAAACCAATACAAGCTGGGGTGGGGAGGGGGAAACTTGGTTTCTGTTGGTGAATGTCCTCATGTCACTCAAAATTAAAAGGTGCTTTGTTTGGCAGAGAATTCCAGGTACTTTTTCTCAAGACATTGCAGATATCATGCCAGTATCTTCTAGATTCCATTGTTGCTGATGTGAAGTTGTCAATAAGTTGCTCCTTTGAAGGTATCTTTTTTTCTCTCCTATTTTTAAAAATCTGTTGCAGTCGTCAAAAAAAAAAAAATTCCCCTTTCTTTAATGTTTCATAGCTGAATATACACTGTGTGTGGGCATAGATTCTTTTTTCTTTATTCAATTTGGATGTTAAGACTTCATAAATTTATAAAGTGTATATTTTCATTGGTTCTGGCAGTATGCTTTCAACTACTGTCTCTGCTCCATCTTCTGTCTTCACCTATTAGAACTGATGATATGAATTTTAAGACATTCTTACTCTACCCTTTATGTCTATCAACTTCCTATATTTTCTATTTCTCTGTCTTTCCATACCATATTCTGTACAACTTCTTTTTCAAATATATCTTCAGCTTAGCAAATCTCTCTTCATTTAGATCTGATCTGCGGTTACACTCATCAACTTCTTTAATTTCAATTATTACATGCTTCCTTAACAGAAGTTTATTTGCTACATTTTTGAAATTGGCTTTGCACTCTTTTAAGTTTTCCTTCTCTGAACACTTTAAAGCTTGTTTCTTCTTTCAACCTGTAAAACATGGCTATTTCATATTCTATTTCTGATAATTCCAATATTTAAAGTCTTTTCAAGTCATTTTGTCTGTTGTTTCTGATAGCTTTCATTTATGATCTGTTTTCTTGTATTTTTAATCATTTTTAACAGTAAAATTTCCTTTTGGATTTTAGCTGAAAGAATTCTTTGATGCCTGGCTGTAGGTGATTTCCTCAAGAGTTTGCTCCTTCTTGAGATCTAGGGGCACTAACATTTAGGATCACTTTAAATTTGGTTTGAGTTTCGTCAGACAAAATCAGAAAGTATGAATTCACGTTGCAAATTCCTGTGCAGGCTGACACGTGGTTACTTCTTAGCAGCACTTTTCCCTTCCCCCTACCCAGCACTAATGCTTTGGATGTGTAAGTTTCCCTACAGATCTCCAGGAAACTGAGAAAAGCAGCATCTTTATTTCTAGTTTACTTGTACACTAAGTCTTCTCAGCATTATGGGAACTGGGTCTCCTATTATACTTCTTATCTTGTAAAGTGAGCACTAGGCTTTGACATAAGGAGTTCTTTAAATACTATGTTTTAAGTTGTAGCATGCAGGTTATCTATGGATCCCACCCTGCCATATTATCAGAGATAAAACTTCACTTTAACTCTTTCCTTAAAACTATATGCTGCTCTCCTGAGTCAAAGTCCTCTCAAATTTGAAGTATAAGCTGGGCTAAGAGATAACCTGAATAATTCTAGAGCTGTCATGGATCACAAAGCCATAGTCATAAATTTTTTGTACCTAATAAATATTTTTATAGTTTTTTCAGCCATATCAGTAGTGTCTTTGAGGATTTATCTGTGTTAGTTTTTTACCAATTGACTCTTCTTTTAGAAGTTTGTGAAACTCTGTCAACAAGAATCTTTTCAATCCTTTCAGGACTATCTTCAAGTATCACTTTTTTAAGAGTGATGAGTATACAGCTGTTTAAAAAGTACTAGAAGACAGCCAATTTGTGCAAGAAAAACTACACTGTCCACATAATTAGTTCTTTGGTTGACCATTTTCATATTTTACATTTAACCTTCTTGACCAAATTGTATTTTTTAAAAGTCCTACACAGATATGTATTTTATTAATGTAATTTCTCTAAGAATGAGGCAGACATTAAGATTTGCTGAGCATCAACAAAGCACCATGTACTGTGCTGAGAGTGTACTTGTATTAATTCACATAAACCTTATTATAATCCTATACATAAACCTTATTATAATCCTGTGAGGTAGGTGGTAATATTTCTATTTTAAAGAAAAAGAAATATATACTAATGAAAAATAGATATTCTGTAATATAGTCAAGATGTAACCCAACTATACATGACTCCTAAAAAGCAAATGCTTCTGTAACAATGCAAAAAAAAAAAAAAAAAAAAAAAAAAGTTTTATTAACTTTTTAATAAAACATTTAATATGGTAAGGATCTAGTTGCAGAAGATCATGATCAAAGGAAAGTAAGTTAGATATTCTACCTACCCATTCAATCCTTGACCCTCATATAATTTAATCTTCACAACTCAGTTTTGATAGTGGAAGATAGTGCCTCTTCTTGATAGAGAAAAAATACAAAAAGGTACCGATATTTTACTCAACAAGCAAGCACTGCATGACTAGCTTGGGACTGTACTGTGCTATACTTCAGCATTTATAAAGCATTATCGCTTTATCTTCCTTTCAACCCTGGGAATTAATTCAGTCTATGCTTGGAGACCTCTAGGGCGAAAAAGCTCCAAAAGCAGCCCACCCCATTTTTTGGAAATTGACAAGACATCTCTGATCCTGAAATTCATGCCCCTTAGGTTTGTGTTTAGGATAGCTTTAACCCTTTCCTTAATATAAAACTTCACTTACTGGAAGACAGGTATCTTCCCCACTCCAGAGTATTTTCTAATCTCAGATTATTTTTTAAAATTTCCTCAGAAGTAGTAACATTAATTGTTGTCATGCTGATTTCTTTACTAACCTAATTTGAAGGTTGTTTTGAGTTATCTATCTTTGCTTCTAACAATTCAAAAAAATCTGTTAGATTGTCCGCTTCTCAAGGGCATTACTGAGTTTTTATTCATTTTTGTATCCTGGCCCTGAGCACAGTTTATGACACACAGTAGGTCTATATTAAATGCTTAATTCACATAGTAAACTTTACACTTAAAATTGTCATGTGGAATAAGAAAAGCAAGTGTTAGGAACTTAATTCAAATTTTGTATACAGAAACTAAGTAAGAAGACCCAGTTTAAGAGACTTGCTATTATAATACAAAGGGATGACAGAACCAGTGCATCCAAAATTTCTGAAATCTGATGTCAAGCTACGGCTTTTTTGAAATAGCAATTATATTTTCTGAACCAAAAATCAGGACAAACAGCATAACTATGAGTCTTATTTTTAATTCTGAATTTATGAGTATTAAAAAGTCTTACAAAGCTTAAAAAGTTAAATATTCATACAAAAACAACTTCTTCTAGGATGCCCTATATAAATAAAACTAGTCTCTTCTTCTGTGAATGTATATCCTTCCTCAATGAGACATTAAGCTCAGTAACATTTGATGAGAAATGTTTTAATAACAAAGTTATTACATAATATTTCTAGAGTGCTTTGTCATAACTAGCTACATAGTTACAAAAGAAAGAAAAATTTCCTGAAATTCTAGAAAGGATGCTACTCAGGGTTGTACAGTTTTATAGCAATACAAACGTGTAAAACTGACAATGTTCTGTTACAAAAGAAAAATGTGGATGTCCACTCTTACCTGTTTAAAAAGCTGCAGGTTAACTGCAGTTTCCAGGAACTGTTTCATCACGCTTGAGCGGTGCTTTACAAAACTCTCCTCACAGAAAGTGATGGGCTCACCCTAGATAGAAATAAAGATTTTAAGGGCATCAATAAAAGGTCAGTCAGAGAGAACTAGTCTCTTTAAATAGGTAGGTGGAGAGTGACAGAGAAAGTATAAGGTACAGAATCAACAGCCCCTTCCTTACACAGAATAGTTAGATTTCAGGCTACTAGAAATATTCCTCTACTAATAAGCCTGTACTATAACTTTCTAATCCAGGAACCCATGGACTCTAAAAATTGCTCAATTTTATTCCCTCAATTAAGAGTAAATCCCCTAAAAATAAAGATTTGATGTCATCAGATTGAATTATGAGTACTAAACATACCACACATACCTGAAAATATCCAATAATTTCATTGCATCCTGATTAGAAAACATTGTTACTACAAAAATTGCTGCATGATTTTTCACATTCACACTCAGTTGTTGTGCTCATTAACTTGCTTTTTAATTCATGAAAAAAATTTTACAATCACCTTCCCTTCATGATTGCTAAACAATTCACACTGGATACTTTCTAGGATAAGTCCTACTTGGCACCTGTTTTCATTAATCCTTTGCGCTAAGTAATCATATCTTTGCAAGTGTCTTGTGGTAGCTCTACGAAATGCTCCTCCAAATAAGGAAGGACTTAAATCTCAACTTCTACTGATTCCATTTTTTTTCTACTTATTCCTTTGCACGTATGCAGAAAATCATCACCCAATGGCTAATCCCTACCACCTCCTACTTCCCTCATCAGCTTGAACAGCCCCCTTGCCCATTCAACACATACAATAACTGACTAAACTTTAAGATAAAAATGAAAACACAGATGAATAAAAATGATTCATTCATTACAATGCACCTTATAGCAATATTTGTCATACGAAGAAGGAAAAAAATTAATTTGTCATAGGAAAAAGTTCTAACAGAACTTTGAAAAAAATAACAATTCTAATTTAATCTTAAGGAAGACTCAATGTCTTCACTACAGGTATCTGTAAGTAAATTCTCAAAATAGGTTCCTGTATAAATAAAATAATGAGAGTAACTATCTATGTAATTCAACTATTGCCACTTTCTGATAGTTAATACACTACAGAACTGTACTGTCACATTCAGTAGACACTAGTCACATGTAGCTATGTAAATGTTAATTTATTAAGATTAAATTAAAACTTCAGTTCCTCAGTCATACTAGCCACATATGAACCACTCAGTAGTCACATGTAGTTAGTGGCTACTACATTGAACAGCAGATATAGAACATTTCCGTTAGTATAAAAAGTTTTCTTGGATAGCACTGCTATAGAAAAAAGAAAATAAAACTCAAACAAATTATTAAAGAAGACAATTTGATAAACTGTTAAGTGGTGTCACCCACCACCAACTACCAGTCAATGATCTATAAAAAATGTCATTACACATTTTTATACAGATGCTTGCCAATTTTTTTCAGGGGGGCAGGGTCGGAGAGGGTGTCACTCTGCCACCCAAGCTAGATTACAGTGGTTCATTCATAGCTCACTGCAGCCTTGACCTCCTGGGCTCAGGGGATCCTCCCACCTCAGCCTCCCAAGTAGCTGGGATTACAGGCACATGCCACCATGCCCGGTTACTATTTTGTACTTTTTGTAGAGACTGGGTTTCACTATGTTGCCCAGGTTGGTCTCAAATTCCTGGGTTCAGGTGATCTGCCCACCTCGGCCACTCAAAATGCTGGGATTATGGGCATAAGCCGCCATACTCAGGCTATTATTGCCAATTGTAAAGAGCTACAGATGATTTTAAAAATACATACTTTTAAAACTGGACTTATTTACATAAATACATCTTGTATGATCACAAATGTATCAGAGGAAGAAAATCTACAATACGCAAGCCTGTTAAAGATAAACGTCTATTGTTTTCTTATCTCTAGCAGTACGAGCATCATACCTAGCTACACTGGGAGCCCAATAAATGTTTTATGATTGAATTCTAAAAATAAAATAGCAAATGAACTAAGCCTTAATCCATATGACATGTCATCTTTGCAAAAATAAGGACAATTTAAAAAATAAATAAAAGTAATTGCTTCTAATGGCAGTTCTGGCATCACTGCTATTACAAAGTAATCAGGACTAATAGGAACTTCAGTTTTTATGCGATAGATTTTTTTCCTTAAATATGTAAAGATGTATTTCAAGGCAAGAAGAAATGGATGAGACTAAAGTCTATCTATGCTTTCTCAAGAGTTGGTCATAATTTAATTATTAGCCTGTGTGAATTCAGCTGGAAGAATTATGTCCTCATTAAGCTTTGAGTACTTTCAATCTTTCCATAGAACAAGAAACAGCTCAGATTTGCTGTCCATCCACTTGCAATGACACAAATCATGGAAAAACTTTGAACTAAATCTTCAATTTGATTGACATGGTTTGTTTACTAAGAATTTCTGATAACAAAAGACAAAGCACTGACACATTCGAGTTTTCTTTCAAGGAAAAAAATAAGTCTTTATTAATAATGCTCTAAAGTTGTATATATTAATACCCAGGAACTCAATTACTGCCATCGTTGGAAGCCTGAATTATTGTCATACTTAGGGCATATGCTATGAAACAGATTATGTTAATAAATGACTCCTTAGTACGAGTTCTTTAAAATCAAAGTTGAATTGAGTGACATGAGAAAAATTCTGCCTATGATTTTAACCAAGGTTATGAATATTTGAAGTTCATGTCATTAACTACATTGTTAAACGTGATGTTTCTCAACCAAGAACAGACTTTTTCACTGAGTCTGCAACATTAAAAGTATTTTCATAATAACGTAAGTCATTACTCCCACTCTTTGCTCTCATTTTCTCCTGAGATCCAGCAGCGTTTGCCAAAAGCTACATGGTTGGCAATATTGCAACAGACTGAATATAGAATCGAATATCAGAATCCAGCTGACTTCTATTAAGCCAGATATTAAAGAGATCTGAAAAAAATATAAAACAATGATAATGTTCACACTAAATTTATTTAGGAATATAAGAGTTTTTCCTAAAAATGTTTTATATTCATATGTAATTAGTTTATATTGCCTTTAAAAGAATTGTTTATTTTTTCAGTTTTAATTTCCAGTAAGGTCAATATTTAGACATATACCCCACATAAATGAAGGCTTTTTGATAATTTTTAAGAGTATAAAGACATCCAGAGACCAAAAAGTTTGAGAATCACTGAAATACAGCAACAAGCAGAGGTCAAAGGTGACTTCCAGGTTTCTGGATTAAGAGTCATAAAATGACATTACGTATTAGAAACTGGAAATATAGAAAGAAAACCACATTTAAGGAGAAGTTTATAAAATCAATTTTTATTTTTTATAAACTGTTTTAAGTAGTGTTCCTACTGGAGCCCGAGACAGTGGTTCCTGTTCAATTGATTTTCGCAGATCACTCTTAGGAAAAAGGTATTAAGAAAAACAACATAGGGCAGAGAAAAAAAGTCAAGCAAGAATATGGTCTCAACTGGAGATCAGCTTCACCAAATCCCATGGGAAAGCACCAACTGTACCACAGAGTTGATCCCACTTTGAGGCGGAGAGGCCAGCTTCTTATATCCCTTATAAGAAGTGGTCTTTTCCAATGGTGAGAGGTACAAAGATAAAGGATGAACACAGTCTTCCTGGTGAGGCACCCCCATAGAGCCAAGGACAACTTTTTACAAAGGGGCACCAACAAATAGTGGGTATTGTTGGTGCCCTGCCAAGATGTTTGAAAAACACATGAAAATAATGCCGAGTATTAAAGTTGAGCTGATCACTCTACTTACAAAAAAGAACTTATGCCATTGAGAAATACCCATCTATAATTTATTTTTTTAACTGTTGTAATATTCATTCACAGAAAAGTAAATAAACATATGATTCTGTAGAGACACAAAGTAATCAGGTAGAAATATAAAACAATGCAAAAGAAAATCTCTTTATTAGATAATTCTGACAAGATAGAAAAACAATGGAATATTTTCTTCCATAAAACAGTGATGGGGCCAAAAGAAAGGAATCAAAAGCCATCATTTCAATGGAAAGTCCAACAAAGTAACATCAATAGAAATCAGGAAACATAATCTGAACTACAAGCAGAATAAAGTTCAAATTACAGAAAAGAGAAACAGATTTTCTTAGGGACTAATTTTCTGCCTTACATTCAATGTTATTTTTATATATCTTATCTGTGAACTCTGGAGGTCTGAGACTAAATTTTTGTTCATCTTTGCATTCCCTATGGCAGCATCCCCAAACGTTTTGGTACCAGGGACGGGTTTTGTGGAAGATGATTTTTCCACAGACCGGGGGAGTGGGGAATGGTTGTGGGATGACTCAAGCATATTACATCTACTGTGTACTTTATTTCTATTATTATATTGTAATATATATAATAAAATAATTATACAACTCACTATAATACAGAATCAATCAATGGGAACCCTGAGCTTGTTTTCCTACAACTAGATGGTCTTATCTGGGGGTAATTGGAGACGGTGACAGATCATCAGGCATTAGATTCTCTTAAGGAGCATGCAACCTAGATCCCTTTCCTGCATAGTTCACAATAGGGTTTTTGCTCCTATGAGACAGCAGGTGGAGCTCAGGCAGTAATGTGAGCCGTGTGAGTGGCTGCAAATACAGATGAAGCTTCATTCCCTCGCCTGCCGCTCACCTCCTGCTATTTGGCCTGGTTCCTAACGGGGACTGAGGACCCCTGCTCTGCAGCACCCAACCCAGCATCCCGCATTTTCAGTGTTAAGTAAATATCTGCTAGTTACTATATGAATTATTTATATAGAATAATTATGCCTCAAGTAATATATGGATGAAATACAGCTGTTTTTCTACCCTAGTATTATGTTCAACTTCAGAGTGATGATCACTAGTGGTGTAATGTTTTTGTTTGTTTGTTTGTTTGTTTTTAAGAATGAGTGTCTTTCAAGTTCTATACTATACCCTGGAGTAGAAAACTTTGTAAGAACAAGAAAATACTTAAAACAGAGATTAGATCTTATACTATCAGGATGTGTATGACTTAACAGGAGTTCACTATGAAAGAAAATTAGTGCATCAGAAAGAACGACAATGTAAAAACTGTGAAATATAATCCAAAACATCTACATTATACCTACTCAGTTCCTTTATGCACCTGGACTAAATGTAATGTCACCATTACATAAGAAGTATAAACAAACTAAGCAAAAATGTCTGCATATTGATGGCTATTTAAAATTTAAAATCTCTGAAAGACAGCTGTCAGATATCTCATGGGAATGTTCACATATTTGTAAATAAATGACTTTCAGGTTATACAGCAATTTATTCTACATGTCCCAATTCTATTATTATGTAAGGTACAGCAAGTCTACTTCAGAGTATATTAACCATGGAAACAGTAATTTTCTCCCATTGCTGACATTTTAGCTAGAAGTCAATGAAAAAGAACCTCATAGTCAAACTATAAAGTTTAATCATCAGCATCAAAATACTCTATTTGTACATATTATTTTACTATTTTATTCTCATGTTGCTGGATCTGTCCTGAAAAAAAAAAAACTAACTACAGCGATCTACTAATGTTCTATTGACCTATGATTCGGTAACTTAAGACAGAAAAAGGAACTAATTTTTCTAAATTAAATATTGCTGTTTCCAGCTTTTTGTGTAAATTTAAACACCTAGAAAAAATTAACAGATTGTGCGTTAACTTTGTAAATACTATTAAAAAATACATTTTTCTTCCCCATGACTCGAGACAATGAGAAAAACACTCTCCATTCTCATAAAACATATCAGTGATACATAAATGGAACACTTACTACCCAGGTCCCTAGTTCTATCTGTTCCATAGTGCTTGAGCAGAAACCGTATGTTATTGCTGAAGCAATTAAGCAAAATTGTCTTCCTATTAGAAATGAGCAGAAAGAAAGTGCCATAAAACAACTTTTATCCATTAGAAAGCCAGAGGCACACCAACTATGTCTTTGGTAGCAACCATCTCTCAGATAAACAGATCTATCTATGCTTCAGCAAGACAAATGACATGAAAGGATATGTAGACTGTTTTAGTAACCATAAAACTGTGAGAAGTGAGTACATAGTACTTTTCAACTTGGATTTTTAAAACTCTAACAAGTTGACAACTACGAATTTCTTAAATGGAAATGTTAAGACAAAGATTTAGTGAATGGCCTTTTAAATTATGAATGCCATCCCTGTGTTTAAATTGCTTAAGCTTAATCACTAAATATAACATTACTTACTGATAATGTTTTAAAGAAAATAATCAAAAATAGTTGAAAGATAACTCCTCCAACTTGTCAAACCAAGGTCCAGATTACTAACCAATCTATATTTTTTAAGTAAGTAATTTTTTATACATTAGCAAGGCGATTGAAGGCGGCCTAGGAAAGCCTGAGTGACGGAAACACATGACAGCACATTAAGCATTAAAGGAAATAAACTTGAGTGTTACTTCTGGGTCCTCAGATAGGATAATCAAGCATGTCTCTGAATACACGAAATAATATTTTAACTCAAACATTTCTTCGGCCTTAGCTGTTACTCAAAAATTTGACTTATTTGTAATTGTTTGGGACACAAGTGATAACACAGAGATCCTTTCCAAGGAAGATCCTTTCTTAGTTACTTAATACAATCATTTAAAAATATTGTCGTGTCAGAGGGATACAAGATGGCTGATTAGGAACACCTCAGGATTGTAGCTCCCAGCGAAAGTGCAGAGGGTGAGTGGATGCCAGATTTCCAGATGGATTTTTATTGCCCACAGACCAGGAGATTCCCAGGCGGAGGAGCCCCACAGGTTGCCAGTGCGGCTGGTTTGGCCGGCGTGGCTGTCCGGGTGGCGTGGCCGGCGCCGCTATTTTGCCAGAGGTTCTCTGTACAAAATGCACGGGTCTGGGCACCGTTTTAGCTGGTGATTGGAGCTTCTGGCAGACAGAGGTGCCCATTCAACAGATTAAAAAGCAGACTGAAACAGGGAGCCAGGCCAGGAGATTCCTGGGCAAAAAAGCACCACGAATCTCAGCACAGCTGTTTCAGCAGGCGCGGTAGGTCACCACACGGGAAATCACACAGATCCTGGTGCCTTTTCAACAGGCGACTGGGACACCTGGTAGACAGTCGACTGTTCAACTAAAAAAAAAAAAAAGCGGGGGGGGTCTCTGAGGCAAGGAGCCAGGTGATCAGGCTCGGCTGGTCCCACCACTACAAAAGAACAGCAATCAGAAATGCTCTGGATTGAGAGTTTAACAGCAAGCACAGCTGAACCAGGGACGGTCCAGCTCTGTGGGGGAGGGGCGTCCGCCATTACCAAGGCAGTCCACCACTAAGGAGGTAGTCAGCCAATGCTGAGGCAGCCCGCCGAGGCCGAGGCAGCCCGCTGTTACAGAGAGAGTCCACCGTTATAGAGGTGGGCTGCCATTGCTGAGGCAGTTCTAACTACACTTGTATAAACAGGACTGCAGGGAAGTTCACAAGGCAGCTGGGCGGAGCCCACAGCAGCTCAGCAAAGCCTCTGCATGCAGACAGTGACTAGACTGCCTCCTCACTGGGCAGGGCAGACCTGAAAAAAGCCAGCAGCACAACAGAAATTCCTAAAAAAACCCCTAGCTCCCCAGGACACAGCACTTGGGGGAAAAAAAAAGCGGGGGTGGTTTATGAGTTCTGCTGTAGCAGACTTAAACATACCTGCCCAGCAGCTCTGAACAACGGAGCTCACAGCTCAGCACTTGAGCTCCTGTAAAGCACAGACTGTCTCCTCAAGCAGCTCCCTAACCCCCGTATATCCAAAGAGTCACCTCATAAAGGAGAGCTCAGACTGACATCTGGCGGGTATCCTTCTGGGACAAAAATAGCAGAAGAAGAAACTGGCAGCAACCCTTACTGTTCTGTAGCTGCTGCAGGTGATCTCCAGGTAAGCAGGGCCTGGAGTGGACCTCAGCAGTCCTACAGCAGAGGGGCCAGACTGTTAGAAGGAAAACTAAGAAACAGAAAGAAATAACTTCATCATCAACAAACTGGACATCCACTCAGAGACACAATCTGGGTTTCAACAACTACAAAGAAGACAGGTGGATAAATCCACAAAGACGGGAAGAAACCAGTGCAAAAAAGGATGAAAACACCTGAAATTAGAACACCTCTCCTCCTACAAGGAATCACAACTCCTCACCAGCAAGGGAACAAAGCTGGATGGAGAACGAGTGTGATGAATTGACAGAATCAGGCTTCAGAAGGTGGGTAATAAGAAACTTCTGTGAGCTAAAAGAACATGTTCTAATCCAATGCAAAGAAACTAAGAACCTTGAAAAAAGATTTGACAAAATGCTAAGGAGAACAAAAAACTTAGAGAGCAATATAAGTGAACTGGTGGAGCTGAAAAACACAACATGAGAACTTTGCAAAGCATACACAAGTTTTAACAGCCGAACTGACCAAGCAGAAGAAAGGATATCAGAGGTCAAGGATCAAATCAATGAAATAAAACGAGAAGGCAAGATTAGAGAAAAAAGGGTAAAAAGGAATGAACAAAGTCTCCATGAAATATGCGATAATGTGAAAAGACCTAATCTACGTTTGATAAGTATACCTCAATGTGACAGAGAGAATGAATCCAAGCTGGAAAATACTCTTCAGGATATTATCCAGGAAAACGTCCCCAACCTAGCAAGGCAGGCCAATATTCAAGTCCAAGAAATACAGAGAACACCACAAAGATATTCCTCAAGAAGAGAAACCCCAAGACATATAATAGTCAGATTCACCAGGGTTGAAATTAGGAGAAAATGCTAAGGGCAGCCAGAGAGAAAGGTTGGGCTACCCACAAAGGGAAGCCCATCAGACTCACAGCAGATCTCTCAGCAGAAATCCTAAGAGACAGAAGAGAGTGGGGGCCAATATTCAACATCCTTAAAGAAAAGAACTTGCAACCCAGAATCTCCTGTCCAGCCAAACTAAGCTTCATAAGTGAAGGAAAAATAAAATCCTGTGTGAACAAGCAAGTACTCAGAGATTTCATCACCATGAGGCCTGCTTTACAAGAACTCCTGAAAGAGGCACTAAACATAGAAAGGAACAGCCAGTACCAGCCACTCCAAAAACATACCAAATGGTAAAGAGCATCAACACATTCAAGAAACTGCATCAACTAACGGGCAAAACAGCCAGCTAGCATCAAAATGGCAGTATCAAATTCACACGTAAGAATATTAACCCTAAATGTAAATGGGCTAAATGCCCCAATCAAAAGACACAGACTGGCACATTGGATAAAAAGCCAAAACCCATCGGTGTGCTGTGTCCAGGAAGCCCATCTCACACGCAAGGATACACAAAGGCTCAAAATAAAGGGATGGAGGAAGATTTACCAAGCAAATGGAGAGCAAAAAAAAGCAGGAGTTGCAATTCTCATCTCCGATAAAATAGACTTTAAAAGATCAAAAGAGACAAAGAAGGACATTACGTAATGGTAAAAGGATCAATGCAACAAGAAGAGCTAACGATCCTAAATATATACGCACCCAATATAGGAGCAACCAGATACATAAGGCAGGTTCTTAATTACTTACAAAGAGACTTAGACTCCCACACAATAATAGTGGGAGACTTTAACACCCCATTGTCAATATTAGACAGATCAACAAGACAGAAAATTAACAAGGATATCCAGGACTTGAACTTAGAGCTGGAACAAGCAAACCTAATAGACATTTACAGAACTCTCCACCCCAAATCCACAGAATATACATTCTTCTCAGCATCATATCACACCTACTCTAAAATTGACCACATAATTGGAAGTAAATCACTCCTCAGCAAATGCAAAAGAATGAAAATCATAACAAACAGTCTCTCAGACCACAGTGCAATCAAGTTAGAACTCAGAATTCAGAAACTAACTCAGAACTGCACAGCTTCATGGAAACTGGGCAACTGGCTCTTGAATGTTGACTGAATAACCAATGAAATGAAGGCAGAAATAAAGATGTTTTTCGAAACCAACGAGAATGAAGACACAACATGCCAGAATCTCTGGAACACATTTAACGCAGTCTCTAGAGGAAAATATACAGCAATAAATGCCCATATGAGAAGCAAGGAAAGATCTAAAATTGACACCCTATCATCAAAATTGAAAAAGCTAGAGGAGCGATAAAAAAAACTCAAAACCTAGCAGAAGACAAGAAATAACTAAGATCAGAGCAGAACTGAAGGAGATAGAGACACAAAAAAACCCGTCAAAAAATCAATAAATCCAGGAGCTGGTTTTGCAAAAGGATCAACAAAACAGACAGACCAATAGCCAGGTTAATAAAAAAGAAAAGAGAGAATAATCAAATAGATGCAATAAAAAACGATCAAGGGGATGTCACCACAGATTCCACAGAAATTCAAACCATCATCAGAGATTATTACAAACAACTCTATGCACATAAACTAGTAAACCTGGAAGAAATGGATAAATTCCTGGACACTTGCATCCTCCCAAGCCTAAACCAGGAAGAAGTCGAAACCCTGAATAGACCAATAACAATGTCTGAAGTTGAGGCAGCAATTAACAGCCTACCACCCAACAAAAGCCCAGGTCTAGATGGGTTCACAGCCGAATTCTACCAGACATACAAAGAGGAGCTGGTATCATTTCTTCTGAAACTATTCCAAACAATCCAAAAAGAGGGAAACCTTCCCAAATCATTTTATGAGACCAACATCATCCTGATACCAAAACCCAGCAGAAACTCAGCAAGAAAAGAAAACTTCAGGCCAATATACATGATGAACATAGATGCAAAAATCTTCAATAAAATACTAGCAAACCAATTGCAGCAGCACATCAAAAAGCTTATCACAATAGCACATGAAAAAGCTTATCCAACATGATCAAGTAGGCTTCATCCCAGGCATGCAAGGCTGGTTCAACATACGCAAGTCTATAAACGTAATTCACAACATAAACAGAACCAAAGGCAAAAACCACATGATTATCTCAATTGATGCAGAGAAGGTCTTTGACAAAATTCAATAGCCCTTTATGCTAAAAACCCTCAATAAACTAGGTATTGACGGAACGTATCTCAAAACAATAAAATGTATTTATGACAAACCAACAGCCAATATCATACTGAATGGGCAAAAACTGGAAGCATTCCCTTTGAAATCTGGCACTAGACAAGGATGCCCTCTCACCACTCCTATTCAATATAGTACTGGAAGTTCTAGCCAGAGCAATAAGGCAAGAAAAAGAAATAAAGGGTATTCAAATAGGAAAGGAGGAAGTCAAATTGTCTCTATTTACAGATGACATCATTCTATATCTAGAAGAGCCCACTGTCTCAGCCCAAGATCTGCTGAAACTGATAAGCAACTTCAGCAAAATCTCAGGATACAAAATCAATGTGCAAAAATCACAAGCATTCCTATACACGAATAACAGACTTAAAGAGAGCCAAATCTAGAATGAACTGCCATTCACAATTGCTACAAAGAGAAGAAAATACCTAGGAATACAACTAACAAGGAATGTAAAGGAATTCTTCAAGGATAACTACAAACCACTGCTCAATGAAATAAGAGAAGACACAGAGAGATGGAGGAACATTCCATGTTCATAGTTAGGAAGAATCAATATCATGAAAATGGCCATACTGCTCAAAGTAATTTACAGATTCAACACTATCTCCATCAAGCTACCAATGACTTTCTTCACAGAACTGGAAAAAACACTTTAAACTTTATATGGAACCAAAAGAGAGCCCGCATAGCCAAGTCAATTCTAAGCAAAAAGAACGAAGCGGGCCGTATCACACTACCGGACTTCAAACTATACTACAAGGCTACAGTAATCAAAACAGCATGGTACTGGTACCAAAACAGAGATATAGACCAATGGAACAGAACAGAGGCCTCGGAGGCAACACAACACATGTACAACCATCTGATCTTTGACAAACCTGAAAAAAGCAAGCAATGGGAAAAGGAGTCCCTGTTTAATAAATGGTGTTGGGAAAACTGGCTAGCCATGTGCTGAAAGCAGAAACTGGATCCCTTCCTGACGCCTTATACTAAAATTAACTCCAGATGGATTAAAGACTTAAACATAAGACCTAACACCATAAAAACC